GTACTGGAACCATTTTTGCAATTTTTGCAAGGCACGGTTGAGAGTCTCGGCAAGGATCGAACTCGCGGTGTTCAGAGGTGCAGACATGAGTCTAACCTCTTAACCACTCGGCTATCCCTGCCTCTCCATAGGTCCTACAACCGACTGGCTAGATTTTGATTTTAATGTTTTCATTATCTTTTTGTTCCATTCATCCAGCATAATACACACCATCAATATCTACAACCTATTGCCAACGCACTAGAAGCTGTTCGATGCCTCTCTTGTAGAACTCCACTGAATCTGATCGAAGAAAGATTGGATGTCGATTTTGACATCGTGATGGTTAGAATGAGTTTTGTCTTGCGAGTGGGACAGAATGAGGTCAAGGCTATGAGGCGAATATAAAAGAACTCTCCCTCCGAGAGTCCTAAAATTTTCTCGGATTTTCTAGAGCATTGGGTGGTTCAATTCGAAACACTTCTCCTAATTTTTGAAACATCTACGCGTTGCGACGGTTTGTAGCGTCGCAAACCGTCGCACCGTCATAACTCCCTCGAAAGCGGGTAAAATGAAAGGATCTTTACAGCAATGGACTCGTCTCTCTGTGGCGAGTCTAACCATGTGCAAAACTACTAATTTGGTTGAATGGTAATAAGTTATTCCATGAAAACTATTGTCGATCCCTCGTTGACAGTCTCGCCTCTCCTCGTTTCCATTATCTCTCCAATCGGGGACCAGCTCTTAGCTACCGCCTCGATGATTTCGTAACGCCTCACTTCGAGCCCTTCGCCACTTACGATTGGACGTAAACGCCAAGATGCTCGCCTCTTCGGAAAAATTTCCCGTGCGTGCTCGTTTAACACATTCACGACGACGCCCCTTTTCCACTTTTCGGTCGCGTGGGACGGACGCGATTTTGTGGGCGCCGCCGCCTCACCACATAACCGCAGATTTTGTTTTGTAAATGAACAAAAACATGAATGTCACAAAAAATTTCTGCAATGTCCAATGCGTAAAGATTATCTAAACATATAACAGTAGGATTTCGATCAGAACGACAAATAGTGGTTACGAAAAGAGAGCATTTATTCACTTTCCCCGTGAAGGAATTTAAAAGCATTTTACACTCGATTACGAGGTTTGCCCACCTATCTGTCCATTCCTAGCGCCTGGCAAGCGATTATCAGTTGGCAGCCCATATGGGCTGCCATCGTCCCAGGAGCGCATGTTGTTGGCAGCCCATATGGGCGGCCATCGGCGCCGTCAACAATCCAGCGCTGAGGCGACTTTCAGCTCAGATACATATACGAAATTCCCTAGTTCTCTTTGGAATCTATCTGGAGGGACCGAGTCAATCGTAGAGTACATTTGACCAAAGTCTCGCGAAGTATTAGGTTGTCTCATAAATAGTGTCGCTTTTTTTCAACCAAAAAATTTTCATCTAAATCCTGAAACTTTTACATCGTGTTATATACCATTCGAAAGAGAATTGTCTGCTCTACAAAATGCTGTGTTCTTCTTCCACCTCTGTTCAGGGTTTTCGAATTTCAGGCTTGCGAAATGGGAGGTCCCGCCGACAAAAATTGACCAAACCGACAACTAGCTCTAACTTTATTTCCCCTGCGGAGAAATCAATCAATGATGTACCCTCTACTTACTCATGACCTCTTCTGAACATTCCACCCTTAGGTTGCCGAAAAAGCTTTGCCGTGTTTCTTTTCGAATTGGCTGACGATAAGCCATAGCAATTTTCAAATTAAAATTGTTCCTCGTAAACGTCATTGTTTCATATCGAGTGGTGTTCCTTTTACGAGCACTTCTTCTGCTCTACTCGCTCATTTGTTTTGTTTCTCTGTTTGTTGGGAATTAGTTCGAATTTTAGATGTTTCGGTATAAGGTGCTTTACCGCGAAAGTGACCACATTTCTTTGAAAAAAATTATCCCTTAGAAAATGAGAAAATCAACCAGTCGTACATTCCTAACTTAGTCATGACTTGTTCTTCAAATTCAACCAGTTCTTCAACGTCTCGGCCATAAAAAAATTTCGACCTAGATCACAGGTAATGGTGCTCGATCGTCGAGTTCTGGTTGAAAAACCAGCTCTGGAAATTGAACGACGCGATTTGTAGGAAAACCTAGTAGTGTAATGATTAGAAGAGGTCATGCATAAGTAGAAGGTACATCATAGATTGATTTCTCCCAAGGAAAGATAATGTTAGAGATAGTTGTCGGTTTGGCCATTTTTTGTCGGCCGGACCTCCCATTTCACAGGCCCAAAATTTGAAAACCCTGGAAGAAATGTGGAAGTGGAGACATAGCATTTTGTAGAGCAGACAATTCTCTTTCGAATGGTACACAACACGATGTAAAAGCATGGAGGTTTAGATGAAAATTTTTTGGATGAAAAAAAGCGACACTGTTTATGAGACAACCTAATACAAACACCCATCAGCTAAGCGGAGCTCCGCGTGCAGTGGGCGTGACGTGCATCGAAATGAACTGTACTGGCGAAACTAAGGAAAAAGTGCGCGTTGG